ATATGTCGGAAGTGCCGAACAGCTAAGTAGATTGCGAGAATTTCACGGCCAAAAGTGCTATATCGAGTCTGTGCAGGTTGTAAGCGATGCGAGAAGAATGATAAAGGCTGTATTTCACCGTTGACATCCTGTTGTAGAACCGCACCAACTGCAGTTTGTGAGGCATCAGTAACCAGGAAAAGAAGTGTAGACGGATCAGGATTTATATGTGCCAAATTAGTTGCCTGATTTAACACTTCCTTAACCGCTTCAAATGACGCAATGGCCTCAACTGTGAGAATGAATTTGCGAGTTTTCAGTCTGAGTAAGTCGGTGAGCGGTTGGACAACCTCAGCACAGTTAGGGATAAGCGACGGTAGTACGTGATGAGACCAAGGAAACGTCTTAACTTTTTAATGCTGTTGGGAGATGGAAAGTCGCAAATGGCGGAAACTTTAGATGGCAGATTACGGATGCCGTCCGAGTCAACAATATGTCCTAGATTTTCCAGTGACGTAACACCAAACTGGCATTTACTACTATTGATGACTGTACCATTTTGCTAAAATTTTTCAAACACTTGCTTTAAGTGAAGCACATGCTCGTCTTCGGACCGACTGGCGATAAGTTCATCGTCAATATGAGCGTAGACGAAGTCTAATCCCCGTAAATCTTGATCCATGAATCGTTGAAATGTTTGAGCCGCATTTCTGAGCCCAAATGGCATACGAACGAATTCATATGGACCGAATGGAGTGGTGATAGCAGTTTTGGGGATATCGTCTGGAGCGACAGGTATCTGGTGGTATGCTCTGACAAGGTCTAATTTACTGAAGACAGATTCGCCGTGAAGAGTAAGGGCGAAATCATGCAGATGCGGAATTAAGTATTTGTCCGGGATAGTGACGCGATTTAGTGCGCGATAATCACCACATAGTCTCCAATCTCCCTCGGACGTTCTGGGGACCATATGTAGTGGAGATGACCAGGGGCCGCATGATGGTCGTATGATACCCAGTTGAAGCAAATGATGGAATTCGGTCTTGACTATGGCAAGCTTTTCCGGAGCTAACCGCCGTGGGCGGGATCGGTGGGTGGGCCTTTTGTCGAGGTATGGTGGAAGACATCATGTTTTACGGAAGTGGTCTTGGAAGCAGTTTGCAGGATCTCTGGAAAGTGACGGAGCAGTGCCATGTAACGGTTACTCGGCAAGGCTAGGCGGAGTTCAATAGAACTAATTGATGAAGCTTTGCCATTTATAGAGAAAGTCGTCAAATTGTCAGGCAACTGCCTTTTGTGGAGATCAACCGTGAGACCAAATGACGTGAGGTAGTCCAGACCAATAACGGCCACTGGGAAAACCCAAGGAAACAGACCGCGAAGCCTTAATTCGAGAGTAAGAAGATTTTCACCATAGGTCTTAATTCTCGTACCGTTGGCAGCCTGCAGATTATGTGCCACAGGCTGTAGGTTATGCTTGCGTGTAGGAGAAATTACAGTAACCTCAGCACCGGTATCGATAAGGATATTCAAGGACGTGAAGCGGTCATATAGGAAGAACAGGCGACAGGTAGAGGAGCCGGTTGCAGTGGTCGCCATTACTGGCCGGCCATGGCGTTTCCCGAATTCGAAGGTTTTGAGGAGAATGTGCAAGGTCTGGTGCATCGGATAGCGCGGTCGCCGAAGCGACGGTGGATGTAGCACCAGTCAGGTTGGTCACTGTGCTTGTGAGCACGACTGTGAGATCGAGACTTAGACCGTCTATGTTGTTGAGGGCGACCAACGAGTTTGGTGACTTCATTCAGTTAGAGGGACAACTCAGATAGTTGAGGTTTCATTGCATTGA